GTGCCCTCTGTTGGGGGCAATCTCCACATGCTTGGGCGCCGTGACTTTTCTTGGCCTTGGAAGAGGGCTGATTGAATCGGAGATCTTGCCTTCGTGTGCAAGAAGTTTAAAAAGTTTAGAAGTTTAGACATTTAAGTATACTATTAAGTGGGCTGTTGGAGCAGATAGACCTGAGGGAAATCGAGCAGGGTCTCAGAGGTGTCATACCCAGGGTGAAATTAAATGCTTGGTTCAGGACGGTTCCCCTGGATGAGGCACTAACAAAGGTAAGAACCCAGGCCTTGGCTCCACGCCCTTATCTGAGCCTACAGGCAACATTTCCCAAAGTGAATGCCAGTCCCGAGGATGCTTTATGAGGTAAAGGATTCCATAGTCAGATTGGTTTGAGAAACACTCCTATATTCTCTTCTAGAGGATTCCCAATGCTCATTCTGAAAATTTCTGGAGTGAAAGAAATCTGTTTAATCCATTCTTTTCAGGAACAGAACTTTATCAGGAAGTTTTTTTCTAGTAGTATCTATTAAGGAACATCTATGGGCCAAATATTCTGTGCAGCACACAGGGGGAAATCCAGGTTCAGAAATTCTCAAATGGAAGCAGTTAATGCAAAGTTCTTTGCTGCGTCTGCCAGCTCCTCCCCTCTTCTGGTGAGAGTTCTCTGTGTCTTCTTTGAGGAACGCTCCTTCCGTCTCCCAGTTATGTGCTCCTGGGAGCAGAGGGCTGTCAAACATGGACCGTAGCCCCACCCACAGCCACAGGGGCCATACATGACACAAAATGGGCCAAAACAGTGCTTATCCAAGATTTGGAGCTGCTTCTAAGGAAACTGAGTCCCTTCTTCTCTGAAGGTGTGGCAGCGTAGATGGGAGCCTGGGAGCTGCCAGCAGCCACAGATCCTCCCTAGTTATGGAAATTGGTGAGAGAATCTGCCAGCCTGCAAGAAGGGGCAGCCGTGCCGTGAGGGACACCCAGCTAGTGCTTAATAAAATAGACATAATAGTGATATTGATACTCATGTATTAATAGTATACAATATATAATTATATACTTCATAATGTCTAACTATAATTATGTAATTTAATTATAAAACATAATTAAATAACTATGTACATAATATATAATTGTATTACATAATATATATTGATATAGAATATATATCAGGGCTTGCTAAGTTTATTAATACGGATTATATAAAATTATAAAAGTGTATAATTATATACAATAACATATATATTATAACTTATTATAATATACGTATACAACACAACATATATATACAATATACTAATTTATATTATATAACATACATAATTTTATATGAGTATATAAAAATGTATGTAATTATATATAACATATATTAATAACCTCAGCAAGCCCTAATAATTATATATATAATATATACTAATCACGTTAGCAAGCCATACGTTTCCAGTCATCAGCGAGGCCCAGCCCCACCGCAGCTCTTCTCGCTGTTGGGTAACAGGAGCCGAAAGCTACGTATCCTTTTGAATCCTGATGAACGCAAGCAGCTTCTGGGGTGACCGGACCCTCCACCAAGCTGCCTGAAATTCAAGTTTGGCCTCAGGAAAGGCAATGCTGGTTCTAGAGAAGACTTTAAAATTCATTAAAGATTCCAAAAAGAGCAAAAAGGAGCGCTGGAGGTCAGGCCCCTTTTGAAAAGTCTCTGCCCTCTTAGGCGGAGACCTGGTACTGCCAACTCCACTTTCATCCGAGTGCCCTCATTTCATCTCTTCTCCCCTCCTGCGTGTCCCCTGGCATTTCTCAGTCTCGAAAAGCCAGGGGCTACAGTCTGATGGAGGTTTACGACAGAGGAGAGATAACCTGGCTGGTTTCTTGTCCTCTCTGTGCAGGCTCCCTCTGTCTTCTGGAACACTGTCTCGTCATTCTGCTTCCTCCCCCACCCACACTCCGTCTTCAATGCCTAAGAAGAGATTAATGTAACCAGCAGCCCTACTCAAGTCATCTGGCAATTAACAGAGATTATAGCCATAAATGACAGTGGCAGTGTTTCATTGCTGGTGGTGTAAAGAAGTTTTGATGAGGAACATGGAGTTTTCCCAATGCTAGGTCAGTCCTTTAGTTCATGGGGAGAGGTGCGTCTGGGTTTTCTGGATACCTCACCTGTGAACAGTGATGGGCTGGAGCTGGCTCCAAAAAGCCAATTGTCAGCATCTTCCCAACTCTGAGTTCAGTGACATCACGTTGGTAGCTTAAAATCAGCCATGGTGGGAGTATTTACTTCATAGGAATCAGTGAATGCTACAAATTAGACCCCCCTACCCCCAAAGCTGCTTGTTAGCCGTTTACCAGCACACTACTGCCCGGAGACCTCTTCACCGTGGTCCTGCCTTTGAATACCCACACGGCTGAGCTTTGCTTCCCTATCTGTTCCTTCTGCCACCCTTGCAGTGGCATTGGTGAGCAGCCATCACCCACAGGACCGAATACGCTGAATTGAGGGTGTTGTGACGATTCTGTTTTTCTGATTAGTCAGACACCTGATCCACTCTAATGCAGCCTCGAACAGAGGTTGCAAACCGGTCACCTGTGTGCTGAATTCAGCCTGCCGATCTAGTTCACTTGGTCCACATGCCATTTGCTGAAACGCGAATTAGTTGCCAAAATTTAAAATCTGGTAGATTTCCCATGAAAACCTGTGTTTCTGACTCTCCTGAAAGAGGAAATCAGAAGACCCGGCAATAACGGGCGACCATCCGTGCATTGAGACGTCCACAGGAGCTGAGGAGCAGCGACCCCTCTGGGCTTGGTGTGCATTTTTCTTTTCTCCTCAGGCCCCCTCCAGGCAGCTGTGCTCACTTACACTTCCTGCCTTACCTCTGCAGGCATTTGAGTTTGGCTTAGAACAGCATGTCCTGTGCCCTGTTCCCCAACCCTCCACGAGGGGCACTTGACAATAAGGCAGGACATGCTCTGGGGGTGCAGAGGACGGTAGGATCACATTCCACTGGGGACATCAGGATGGCATCACTGATCAATAGCTCTGGAGCTTAGAAGTGGGACCTCCTGTTAGGGATAAGATTTCCATGGCCTAAAATATGGGAGGAGGGATGGCATTCCAGGTAGCAGGACCAGGAGGAGTAACAGCATGGAGATGGGAACGCTCACCATGTGCTTTGGAAATACTAAGACCCAGGACTCATGCTGGGCAGTCAGGTGATAGGAGGATGAAAGAGGAAGGTCACTGAGGACTTTGCATTGGAGGCTCAATTCAGCTCAGTTTCATAAATTCTCTCCGGCTGCTTTCTATCCCAGGATCTCTGCTAGAGCGTGAACTCAGGCATGATTGAGATGGAATTTCTCCCCAGGACTTTTCTCCATGGTTTAGCAATTTCTAAGTTTGTTTTTGTTGGTGTTTGTAAGCTTTTGCCATGGACCCTCTGTCAGGTTAACCTGAGATGAAGCCCTATATTCAAACCTGATAAACCAGGCCCTTTTCAGGGTAAAGAATACAGCTCGTTTGCCGCGAGGGACTGGGGAAGCCCTCAAGCTCCAGGGCCTTGTATGGAAAGGGTGAGTTCTGAGGAGTTTCTGTGGCCTGTCAGCCGGGGAGGGCAGCTCCCAGCAGAGCTTCAGTCTCGTGGCAGGCACGGAGTCTGAGAGGGACAGAATCCGGGAGCAGCTGCTGTGGGGGCAGAGGGACGAGCGGATGCTTCTGAAGGGGACGAGAGGGAATAAGCTTAGAAAGAAAATGAAGAATCTACCTATCAGACAGTAAGAATGTGGGTCTGGATGATTTTGAGAATAAGGGAGTCATGAGAACTGTCAGGGAGGCCCAAGGATGAGTGTTTGTGTGTGTGTGCATGCGTGCGCGCGTGTGTGTGTAAATTACCAAGGTGAAGATGCAAGCACCCCCAAACAGACAAAGCCTTCTTAGCCTCCCTGTGGACTCTCTGAGATGTAATAGAAAAAATATAGTTCAACATGATCAACAGGCTGTCTTACCACCAGACAGAAGAACTCCTCTTAGGGTGTTAACAATCTGTATTTGCGGGAAGATCGTGATAAGCTGCTTGAGCTACAAGGATGGGCAGGGTTTGTGGCAGGAGACCAGAGTATGAAGAAAAGGTGACGAAGCTTCTCTTCAAAGAGAAAAAGAACAGAAGTCAATTTTTACTTCTGAGAAGGGTAGGGATAGCTGCGAGCAGGGGCAGGAGAGGGCAGGTTGGAGATGGCTGGCAGATGGCACATGGCTTGGGGAGGGTAGCCAGAAGGAGTTTACAACGTGGTGATGCCTATTGTGATATGCGATGTTTGCTGTGTCGTGTGCAATGTGACTCCTCTCCATGACCCCAACACTTCCAAGAAAACTTTGCGTGAATTTTCCCTCCTTCCCTCTGGAAGGAAAGGGTAAGGCTTAACCCCTGGGCTGGGCCAATATGAAACAGGAGGGAGAGGCAGCTGTAGCTGCAACTCACAGAATCCTGGGGAAGTGCTCTGGATCTCCACCGGCTTTGGGTGGGGAGGGGAGCCATCTTCAGTGGACTCCGAGGGCGTGGTGGCCCTGGGTGGCACCTGGGCAAGGGAAGGTCAGCTTGGAGGAGCAGGAAGGAACAGGCTGAGAGAGACAGAGCTGTGCCCGGGCCCACCGGCCCTCCGCAACGCCCCTGCCTCCTCTGGGTCTCATCTTCTGTAGCAAGAACTACCTACTCCAGGGATCAATTAAGATTATGCACAAAGAGCTCCAGCCCTTTGTAGATGTTCAACAAATACATGAGGATTGTCTTTGTACTGGTCTCCAGCAACGTGCAGCCGAGGTCAGCTCTGGGTATGACAGGGTGCCCTGACGGAGGCCTGATAGGGACCAATTTGCCATGTCACCATCCCTCACATCCCACCTCCCTATCTTCCCCAAGCGTGGATTTAGAACAGAGCCCCAGAGAATGTTGACCCAGCCAGAGCGATTGTCGGTGTCCCACCTCATCAACTAGTCTGAAGAATGAAAACTCTCAGAGGTCATCTTTACTGTGAAATTCTAAAATCATGTTTATTCACCAATTCACAGAAAGTGTCATAATGACCACCAACATGAATCAGTTTGTAGGCATTTACAAGCCAAGGCTGAAAATAAATATCTGTCTGTGTTGAATAGGCATTTAACAAATTACTCGGAAACTGCAAGAATCTTAATTGTTAGAAATTTAAAGTTTGTGATTCAAACATGGGTAAGATCACAGTCTTAGGAAGAAGCCCAACAGACCCCGTGACGGTTCTTGTTTCTTCCTACATCGTTATGTACAGACAGGTTCTCAGCGCCCCTCTCTCTGTGAGCCTGGAGTACAAGACAGCTCAGTGAGGCAGGGGAGGGGTGCTCAGAGAGGGCGTGGGGGCGGGGAAGGGCATTTTCTCTGATCTGCGACCCGGCAACTTCATTCACTGAGCAAGATGACAATGTGCTCTCCTGAAATTAGGTTCGATGATCTATAAATGCATACAGTCTTTCTAACGAGATAGTCCGAAGTTCGCATTGTATCGCGCTCATACACACACAATAGCATATTTAGCAAATAAATGCATTTTCTAGAATAAAAGGATTCACTCTTTGAGGCAGCTGGAAGAGCTCAGAAGTGTGTCAGGTACACACTGCCAGCCCCGGAGGTGCAGCTGGTCACTGTGGGAGACGCTCTGGCTAGACTGGCCTTAACCACCCAGACAGGAACAGCGATTGAAGGCGATTCTGTAAAATGACGCTGCTGGTCGTTCCTCTCTCTACTGTGTCAACACCTCAGAGGCTCCGAGGAGAGAAAGGCTCACCTCCATCTCAGACCTTTCCCATACACACTGTGGCTGGGCGGCTGGGCATAAATGGCCATCTAAGGCTCCTAAGTGGTGGTGGCATCTCAGATATGGCAGAAGGGAAGGGCTGGGAGAAGAAATCACTAGACCTTTTAGACTGGCTGAGCCCCCAGAACCTTTACTTTTAGTTCCAGAATTGTGCCTGAAGTTGGCAAAATTCAACAGCACTCCACCAAGTGTTTAGGAAATGACAGAGGCAATAGGAAGGAAGCCCCACCCCACTGCCCAGAGAAATAGCTTGTTGAGTGATATGCAGATCTGGTCCAAGGGGTTCAGACCTACTATGTCAAACATCCCACCACTGCTTACTACCAGACAGCAAGACCCAGTGCCTGCAGCTGCCTGAACGTTGCTCTGAATCTGTGAGTTCCCCGAGGCTTCTCCTCAGCCAGGCATTGATGACCCGGGGGGTGTGTGGCAGACCTGCTTCTCTGTGGCTCCTTTAATTTGGGGTCTAGTGATAGTGGTAAGTGTCTACTGCGTAGTGACAAGCTGGACTTTCAATTTCCAAATGCTTAACAAACTCCTACTATGTGCCAGGCACTGTTTCCAGAGCTTTGAGAGCTCAAAGTAAACAACAACAACAAGAAAAAGTGTAACATTCAAACCAATGCTTCTCAAGAATTTAAAATGTGTTGGGACCATCAACATCTTCATTCTATATCTTACTTATTTCTGTATTATAGATGTGTATATGCATATGACACATATATTTAGCTGTCCTTAGCCTACTTGTCTCTGATAATTTATATTCAATATGTTAACTAATTTTCTAAACTAATGCCCCACCAAGTCATTCTGAATCTTACCTTATCGACATGATAATGTCCATTCCAATAATGTAACACATCAAACTCTAATACCTACAGATTTCTTTGAAAACAACCAACTTCTACATGCAATTTCTGTTCTGAACTCACCAACTAGTTTTCTTCAATCTCCTTCCCAGCCTGTCCAGCTCAGGGCAGCAACAGCCATTTTTAGAAGCTACTGCGGTCAGGCTGGAGGCATCAAGTGGAGTGATCCGTCACGACTAGTTCAATTAAGAACTGAAATCACCTTCAATCAGCTCTGACTTTGGAAGCAATTGCCCTGACTGCCTCTGCGGTCACCCGGCCAGACTTACCCATAGTTTGCTGAAACTTGGGTACAGCTTTCAAGACATAGCAGAGCCCTGGCCTCCTGGGTGAGGGGTTCCTGCTGCTGTCGCTCCCACCCAGCCTCACCTGTTCCCCTCAATCTCTCTTCTCCTGCTTTTTTGAGTGATGAGTCGTGGGTATCAAGGCTAACTTCCTGACCTGCAAAAAGCTGTTGCCGTCTCCATCACTTGAAGTTTACTAGTGAAGATGAACATGACCTCTCTTGAATCCTGCTCATCAGCAGTTCCTTTGCAGCCAAATAAGGGAGCCGGGGGGGTGGGTGCTCCACGTTGACCACGATGGATGTACTTTCGTCTCCAGGAGTGGATGGTGCACGTGACATTAATGTTTGTGACCCACAGGCACAAGCAGAGCCCCTCGTCCCAGATGCCCTAATGAACCCTTGCCAAGGGCAGCTGCCTCCCCATCCCTCCCCCTCCCTTTTCCACACAGTGGCTGGAGTCTGTAGCTGAGACTTGTGGTGAATTCTTTGCTTCTGCAAATAGACACAACCTGTGGGCTCATTTCTCTGATAGCTCTTTCTGCTGGGAAAAGAACCCTCAATATTTGTGTGTGTGTCCCACTTCTGTTCTGAATTGCTCAGAATAAAGGGTCTGGGCAGCAGAGATGCATTTTCATTTCAAGATAAAAGCAGACCGACATTAAAGCCGACATGTTTCTATTGCCTGTGATTAATACACACTGTCTGCATTTGGGCTCTTCTCACGTTTGTTGCTCTCTTTTCATTAGTCTGTTGGGAACTGAGCTTCATCTTGATGAATCTCCTCTGCAGTGAGTCTGATAAAAGGGACTGGAGCGCAGCACAGGGCTGGGTCATTAATAGACGAGGGCTTTCTCTCCTCAGCTGGGACGCTGCCACGACCTACAGGGTGCAGCAAGTGGGCTTGTCAAGGCCCACCTGCCCCTGTTCTCTGCTTAGGGGCTCCTTTTACTGTTATAGCTGGGAAGGGGTCACTCTCCAAACAGCCCCATTCCCGTTCTCTCTCCATTTGGGAAGCAGGAATGTCATCCTCCCTCTACTGCACTTCCACGCCTCCTCGATCTGACTTTATGAAGGACCCTGGCTTAAACACTAAAAGAAAAATGGAGGAATCTTTCTCCACTGGAGCATCTTAATTTTTCAAACCCAGTCCGTTCACTGAGGTCAAGTGGTCTCTGGTATTCCACTGAATTCACCGTTTATTGAGCACATGCTGTGGGCCAGGGGCTACTCTGGACACCAGGGTGCCAGGAGGGATAAGTTCCTCTTCTTGCTTTGAGGAGGGCACCTGTGACAGCAGAGAAGGCAAGAGTCGAGGAGCCATACTGGCCCCACGCAACTCTGTCTTTCAGGGTCCTGGTCTGGTGCCCCGTCAGGCGCCTGGGCCGTGAGGACTGGGTTCCACTTCATTCGACTGAAAGTTCTCTTGGAGTGGGACCCTGACTCTGGAGATGTGTCACCTCCGTGGTCCAGAGGCACCAGCCCCTCTCTGCTCCTCAGAATGGGAGGAACTAGCTGGTGTTGGGACTCAGGTCTCTCGATTGTTTCTGACGAGTGTAAACGGCTGGTGTGACCTGCCCACTGACATACTGTGTGCCTCATCTCTGCCCAGCCTTCCCAATGAAACCCCTCACGACTCACTCACTCCATCTGTGTGGCTGCATCTGCGCTCCTGACCCTCAGTCCATAATGTCTTCCTATCTGGCTTGACCAGACATAGGTCCAAGTCTGTCAACGAGAACAGAATCCATCCCTGCTTCCAGAACCACCAAAGGCCTCTCCACACACTTCCTGCCATCCTGTTCCATGTCCTTTTGTCCTACAGGAGGCTTTGTAATAAGGGACCAACCTCTGGGAAACACACAAAATTGCCTTAAAGTCTTGGGAGAGCAACATTTCGTCAGGGAATTCAAAAGAGAGGCCAGGCTGTACAGACAACCTCTTCTGGATCTAAGTGACAGGAAGAGACCCTTCGTCTTCTGCGCTCAGGGCTATCTGGTTTCCCCATTCTCTCTCACCACAAACACCCTGCAAGCCCTCTTTGTTCTTGTTAGCATATTCTAATCCATTAGAGCGGAGTTATTCTCCATGTGGTCTCTGCGGCTTCAGGAGCTGCTTGGGTATTTCATCAGAAAACCTTTCCAAGCTGGGCGGGAGGAATGAAATGTCCTCTAGGGCATTAGGGGGTACTCAGGAACTACACAGCAGTGCTAGCTCTCCGAGGCTGGGTGTCTGGGCTCCTTCCCAGCCCATTCCTCCTCCATCCTTCCACCCCAACGCCCAGTGCCCGGGCCCTCTGACTCCCAGTCTCAGAAATCCTTATACGTGGACAGATACTGCACACAGTTAGATGTAAATAACCGAGAGAGCGCCAACTAGCTCCTCCCAAAGGTTTGTGGACCGTCACAGAGTTTAAGCCATAAATCAAAAAACTAAATCAATAGTTGCCGGACCTCAGGCATCTGGTAGGGGGGAAAGGGCATTGGTGGAGACTGGGACCTCTGCAGGTCTTAGAAATTCGAGGACCAAGACAGATTCAGTCTGTAGAGAGGCTGCAGGTTTGTTTTGGTTTTAGTTTTTCACTTTTAGTAACATCCAGAATGAGTCACTGCCCTTCCAAGAAAAGCCATTCATTTCCCGTCCAATTTAGTGTCGGATTGTGATGCTGCATGCCCCAGTCCCATTACAAATGGAGTGGTCTGCAGCGACCTGGCCGTGACCCAGCTCCACTCTCTGCCGGGCCCTGCATGGCTCCGCCAGTAGAGGTGCTGTGTGCAGAACAGTTGTTCTGGTGATGCAGGGTCATTGCCATGGTTTAATTGTTTCCCCCTCAAATATGGCCCTGGAGGAAGCTGCTCAGTTTACAGGAACCTGGAAGGCAGCATCCCTAGAGATGGGAGGCCTCACTACAGCCTCTCCTGGGCCATGTCTCTCTCCAGGACGAAAGGGGCCAGGCCAGCAGGAAGTAGCTAATGTGTGAGGGGAGGAGTGGAATTGCGACTAAGTGGGGTTCCCTGAAACCACTGTTTCAGGGAATAGGGAGTGGAGCCTGGAGGGGCCTGGAGGGTAGGTGGGGCCATCTGCTTGGGTCCCCTCTGCATCACTACACAGTAATTAATCATCTCATTAATAGTCATCTCCTCCCAATGCCAGTGAAAGTCATTCTCCTCACCCTCTCCATCAGTGGTTCTCAAACCTTAGTGTGCATCAGAATCAGAGAGCTCCTGAAAACACAGATGGCTGGGCCCCAGCCCAGAGTTTCTGATTCAGTAGACCTGGGTGGGGCCTGAGAATCTGCATTTCTCCCTCATTCCCAGGTGATGCTCAGACTCTGGTTCAGAGACGCACCTTGAGAACCTCTGCTCCACAGTGTCGTGTGAAGCCTTGGCAGGTCCTCCAGAGTCGGGCCCTTGTTCCCTCTGCAGCTCTGACTTCAGGCCTCAGAGATGCTCCCTCACATCAGGCTTTTCATGCCTTGGGGCCTTGGCTCACACCAGCCCCTCTACCTGGGTTACTTCTGAGGTCTGCTTGCCTGCTGTTCATACTTAAAACTTCCTTTGGTCTTGTTTCACTGAGTCTCAGCCGTCAGCCCTGTTATATCCGCCGGATGGGCAGGGTGACCAGCTTTCATCCATAGGTGAACTGAGTCAGGCTGGTGAGAAGTAGAAACATTCAGGGAAACATTGCCTGGTTCCCTGGGGGCTCCTCAGCTGGTCTCAGCAACGTGTGCCAGGGCTCCCAGAGTTACACCTGCCGTCCAACTCAGGGTGGATAACTGCCAGAGCAGGTTACCCAACTCTCCCCACTCCACACTTCTGTCCGCAAGAGTCCTGACTGCTCTCAGATTGCCTCCAACACTGCAAAGAGAACATCCCAACAGCTCAGGAGCCAGGAGACCCTCGTGGGCAGGGCCACGCCACCTCCATCCTCCTTCCCCTGTGCCTGGCACAGGGCCTGGTGCGCCATGGGCGCTCAGCGACGATTTGCTGAATTACCTTGAACAAAGCTGCCAACACAGAATCCCATCTGTTCACAATGGTGACGGGGATGTCGGAGTGCTTTCCGGGGTGCTGGTGGAGGTAACTTCTTCCGTCTCTTCTTGTCTCCCTGGGATAGAGTCAGGTTTGGCTTCTAATCCACAGCCCTTATAAAGCCAACACCCACTTCCAGTTGGTGCCAGAGGGAAAACCAGAGCAAGATCTATAAAGCAGGTTTAGAATGAATTTACAAAGTAAAGCAAATACAGACGGGAAATGAAGGGGCTGGAGTAGACTTCAAAACTCTCATTGCGCATTTCCTTCGCCTACAGCTGGACAACGGAAACTGGGTACATGAAAATTAAATTGTGCCAAGGGCTTTGGCTTGTCAGCCTCGATAAAGGTCTGATGCGGATGGAGAATCCTGTACCATCCGTACTCTGGACAGCACATTGCACGGGGCCTGGGGGTCCCCCACAGGTCTGAGAGTTATCTTACCTGAAAATCATCTACTTTCCACTGGGAAATTCTTTCAAAGAATCAGGCCATTCCCTCACTTTTTTTGTAAAAGCGATTTAGTTCATTTAAATGAGGGGATGGCTAAGAAAAAGTCCTCTTTTTCTTCTTCTTGCTCATTTTGAATCACAGAGCCAAGAAGACTGCTAATTTCGAAGTGTGCTGAGGCGGGCTTTCTACTGATTATGTTGCTGTTGATTCAAACAGTCACAAGTCTTTAGGATCATTTTTAGAGCAGTGGCATGAGCGCGGCTGAGATGGAAATCGGTTGAGATAATGAGCATGGCTGCTCAGAAATCACTGCAGGCTGAACCATGCGGAGAAGGCGCCGGGCCCGGGAGCTAGCTCTCAGCTCAAATGGGGTCAGCATTCAGCACTCGGTCAGTCCCTGGACACAGGGCTTGCAGCTCTTGAGGAATGCTTCCCTGCCTTTGAGTCAATTCGGGAAGTGATAAGTGTTTTTGTTTTCATTTGGCCCCTGGAACATGGACTTTTTAAAACAGCTTCGCTAAGGACTGTGTAGTTGTTGGTTGTCCATTTTGGAGGTAAAGACCACCAGGTAGTTGAAGGGAGGGTCTGAGACAGCAGTTTGCTCTCCCTTGGCAAGTGGAGGGGTACTTTCCGTGCACTTATGGTGAGCTGTGCAAACTACGGTCCATGGACCAACGCGGGCCAGTTGCTAGTTTTTATATGGCCGGTGGGCTCGGAAAGGTTTTTCCATTTTTAAATGGTTGCAAATAAAAATCAAAAGAGTAATAAAATTTCATGACATGTAAAAATAAGATGAATTCAAATTGCCTACATTTTTAGGGTTCATAAATAAAGTGTGTTGGAACATAGCCGTATCCATCCATTCATTTGCGTATTGTCTGCGGCAGGTTTCACGATAAAATGCCAGGGTTGAATACTGGCAACAGAGGCCTGCAAAGCCTCAAGTATTTACTATCTGGCTTGTTACAGAGAGTCTGTGGACCTCTGCTCTCTGTATGGGCATGGAGGGTACTGCTTCCCACCAGGAGCCCCCTCCCTGGAGGGGTCACATCCACAAGGTACAGCCTTTGCAACATGCAGGGATGGGTGGTCTAAACTCTGTTTGATAGGATGAGTCAGCCATTCAAGAAAGTGGTAGTGAAATGAGATCCCACTGACATTTCATTTTTGGTATCTAGATGAATTCGGTCCTTGGTCAGATTTATAGCATTTGATTAAACCTACTAGAATACATATTTTAGTATTCTTTAAGACAGGTGACCAACTCACTGATTGCCTTACTCCATTGGGCAACTCAGTCTGTCCTGGCCTTTTCTATCTCAACCTCCTCTTCTCCTCCGCCCTATAAACAGAGTCACTTGAGAGCTGCCAGCCTCTCCATTTCCCAGCTCGAGAGAGCAGAATCTGGTCATCCACTTGGCAAGATAAGCAACTGTCTGGCCTGTGGCCAAACCACTCAGCTGTTCCTCCTGGGTGCAAGCCTACATCTGCTGCTGTGGATGTCTGGACGAGAGGCCCCAGAAGGTATGGGTCACCTGGGAGTTTTGGTTCCTGGAGGCCAGCATATGGAGCCTGCAAGACGCTGGGCTGATTAACGACATTTTCCACTTGTGGTCAGAATCTCTGGCGGAGGGCAGGTTACACTGCTCACCACTCACCTGGACATGCCCGGAAGCTTCTGCTACTTTTCTACAACCACCCTTTCTTGTTCTCACCCATGGTGACGAGTTGGGCATTGGGAACATGGTGATGCCCACTGACCCAGCAGCATCCTTTCAAGCGCCTCGTCTTCAGAACTGGCAGGCAGAGCGTGACCTGACAGCAGGAGTTGATGGAAAGTGCTCTGACTCAGTGTCCCCATTGTTTCTCGACAAGAGTCCAGTTGGAAATGATTCAACTCTGCTGCCCTAGCCAAGTGTCACTTTCACCTGCTCCCTCCCCACACAAAAAACTAAAAGTATGTAAAGATTTCACACGCCCCAAACAGCTTACTCAACCATGAATAAGTGACAGAGCCATCGGAGACAGCTGGAGGGCCTGAGAAACACCTTCCCTGCTCCAACCAAACTGAAAGACTGAGCAGGGCAAAGTGCTCCCATAAACACCAGACTTTAATATTTTAAGTCAAAATCCAATTCAAAAAGAACTGGTTTTAAACAAATAAAAGTATTCATTTTACCGCCGTGATATTGGGAGAATTCTGTTAGCTCCTAAATGCCCGACTGAAGAATCTCTTTCTATTTAACTAAGGGGATCGTGAGGACTAACCGATCCTGCAGACTTTCTCCTTGTAGATGTGCAGACAGAACCTGAAAGAAAAGAGCTATTTGGTTGGGAGAATTCGCAGACGTGTCTATTTCCATTCAACGAATATAAAACCCCAAACTTCTGTCAATGTTTTTTCCTAAGAATGGAAAAATAAGAGCACTGTTGAGTTTGCCAGCGTGTCCCTCTTCTTTCTGTGACTTTTCTCTTCCCTCTGCGTCTGTCTCTCGCATAATTTCTATGCCTGTCTGTTTCTCCTCTGCAACTGTCCAGTCCTCTGAGGGGAGGAGCTTATCATTCAGCTATATCCCCTTCCTACAGCTGCTGATAGAATGCCTAGCACATAGTAGGTCCTCACAAGGCCTGTTAGCTGCATAAGCATGAACAGAAGTAGAATCAGGGTGGTGGGTCCAGCTTCTTATCTAAATCTCTGAATAACTCTGAGCAAGACACTGAAACTCTGAACCTCGGTTTGCTCCTCATGAAAACGTGTCTGATAACAGATGTCCCAACTACATCAGAATTATTGTGAGGCTCAAAGACACTTTTGGTGATGGAAAAAGCTGCGTAATGTAGTTTTCTCGAATCAGAAGCTTGCAAAGGCCTGTTATGGATCCTTACTGGGTGGAGGTCAGACTAGAGGACACTGACAGCTGTCCCCTTTCTTACGTTTCTCTGTTTCGATGATGCAGGGCGTAGAATGGGAGGGTGGGAGGAGGGGGACAGAGCATACATACTGAGGACAAAGCCCGAGACATTAGGAAGAAAGACGTCCCCAGGCCTCATGGAAGGCCTACGTGGCCCGGCCCTAATTCTTCCTGCTATTCTCTTGCCACAAAAGATCACAGACCAGTTACTATAGCAACAATTCTCTTCACGAGGTGTCCATGTTAGGATGGAGATAGAAAAGATTTCCTTATTAAAAAAAGAAGAAAGAAAGAAATGAGGTTTTTGGATATATTTGCCCTCCACCCAAAGCATTGCTCCTTTTATGAGAAGAAGAAAGAAGAAGCTGTTATGATTGCAAATCTATCTCTAATTCCTAGCCGTTAAATCTCCAAACTTTCATTTTAGATGCGGCACAGTTCACACTTGTTCTAATATATCCAAGAAGAATGTGTTTTTTTCAAGAGGCAAAACAGTGTGAAATAGGGGACAAGGGACCATAAGACTAGGTGCTGAGAGTCTTGTCAACCTCGGGCCCCCTTCTGGCCTAGGTGGGCCCAGCCAGCCCCGTCTCCCAGATCTGTGGCCACCATGAAGCCCAGTTGTGTCATCTCATCAGCGCTCCTTCTGATCCCTGGATGCAGGCTTGTCACAGCTGTCACCTGGGGCAGTGCCCAGCAGGACGGCCATGCGGGGCTCCGTGGCTGCCAGGCAGGCAGCTTCTCAGACAGCTTTGGTTGGGGACCAGGCCCTGCTGTGGCCAAGGACCTATTCTTGCTTTCAGACTTTTCATCTAAGCTTATGTGGCCTCAGAAAGGACAAAGGGAAAGGCTCTTCAGACCGGGGAGAGCATGCGCACACGCGCGCGCGTGCGTATGTGCGTGTCAACCTTTTGTAAATAATTCTGCCTCAACAAGGACGTTCCTCTAAAGCATTAAGGACTAAGACCTCGGGTGTGTGAAGTCTGACTGCCCCGCCTTAGAAAGCCACCTGAAGTCAGGTAAGGAGAACCTGCCGGTCTGTGTAGAGAGAGATGACCGAGTCAGGCGCACGCACAGTGAGCTGGAATCCAGGGCACTGGGAACATGGGGCCCAGGGGAGGGAAGCGACACGAAGGCTGACCTTCTCCCTTGCAGAGAAGAGCCAAGGCAGGACTCTGCAGCTTGGCAGACAGGGTGCTGGGTGAGCCCAGGGCTGGAGAAGTGGGGGCTACAGGACAAAGTCCACCCTGAAGTCCCCACTGATGATGACACGGGGCTTCTTGAAACCACCCCAGGGCTGGGACACAGGGAGTGCCCAAGGCTTACAGGGCGGGTTCCAGGACGCTGGGGAAGGCCTGCCCAGACCTGTCATAGAAATCAGAGGCGACGTGTGATAGACTCGGGCATACATCGGGGTGGGGCTTACAAAAGGGACCGGTGGGCGGGCGCAGACAGCCGGGCACTAGTAGTGGAGGGTGGAGTCGTCCCACTCCAGCTGGGCTTGCCTGGCTCCGCTCTGCCCACGTCTGCCCCTGCCCAGCCCTTCCTCTTCCTCCTCGTCGCTGTCGTCGGAGTCGCTGCTGCTGGAGCTTAGGTCTTCCTCCACTTCCTCCTCCTCCTCCTCGTCCTCCGTCTCATCTTCCCCTCGCCCTGGTTCTTCATGTTTCTGCATGTCAGGGGGAGAAGGGAAATGCTCATCGGGGCGGAACAGAGGCCACTCTGGAGCTTATGTTTCTCCCTCCACTAAGGAAACACTTGGGGCCCCCCGGAATTCCTCTCCCTTAATGCTAAACCCTTGGGCCTGGAGACAGGCTTTCTGGAAGGGTCCTCTGGTAAAAGGCAACTCAGAGGGCTGGGGACGAAGACAAGAAATAGCAGTGAACTCCAAGACATGGACTCGAGGTCAATTATTGTGTGTTTTAAACACTGGACCCATAAGCCAATCCCAGCCATCATTCAGCGAGCCTTTCAGGCCAAGGTTTGTTTCCTGGCATTTCCGGAACCTTTCTGTATGGAGCTTTCCAAGTCTTAAAGGTTTGCCTCTCAGTAGGAGAGTGGCATTCAAGCTTACGCCCCTTTTCCAGGTGGCAATGTGATGTCTCTGGGAGCCGAGGGTCTTATAAGCCGAGACTCAGGTGTGCTGCCCCTGGAAAGTATTCCTTTGGGAAGGACAGCGCTCATGATGCTCACGTTCCATGCCTGCCCCTCACCTTCTGACTTGTGTCCTCAAACTCGACCCCTCTCTTTTCCAGTCCCATTTCCCTCCCCCCAGCTTTTTGGTGATTCCAGCCAAATCTTGTTTCCAGATATATGATTCGAGTTGATGAAGCAGCCATAAAAGATGTGTGTGCTTGCTTGCCTCATCCCCTCTCTGAAGCATCTTCTCTTTACCTTTGCTGCCCCCCCAACCCCCCACAGATCCTACCCACTCTTCCAGGCCTCCCTCAGGCTAACCTCCTCCAGGAAGTCACCCCTGAATGCTCCAGCCCCGAAGGCTCCCCCTGCGTGTGCTTCACTGACCGCTGGCATCGCCAGGTCAGCCCCTGGTGGGCACACTCTTGCCCGCTATTCAGCTGCTCCGGGAATAATGGTCTTGTTTCCCACCCCCAAGGCTCAACTCTTCTAGGAAAGAAATGCTGGAAGCGCCAGCCCGGTGCGCTCAGTACGACACCCACAGCACGTGCTGGGAGAAGCTGAGCTGCATCGGCACGCTGGCTCTGAAACTGGAGCGTGAGGCCTGCTGAGGGGCAGACTGGGAACCAGGCTGGGGTAAGCTTTTCATTCCTCAGTGACTCCTCCTGACTCTCCCCCGCTCTCCCTCCACTGCCTCCACCTCTAGCAGTGCCCAGGGCAGAACAAAGGGCGGGAGGTAAGCGCCCCCCTTGATATTCCTATGTCCAGAACAGGGACCTCAGACACTCATGCGTGGATTCTGGGGGCTGCTGGTGAACCGGAAAGATAGGAGCTTCAGAGTCAGCAACCTGGAGTTTGAATGCTGGTGCTGCCATTACCAGTGACGTGAGTCTGAGCACTTGACTTTCCTCTCTGAGTTGGTTCCCCCCTTGACAAATGAGGATGATGCCTCCTACTTCACAGGTTGCTGGGAAGATTAAATGAGGTGGTTTATGTAGAGCGCCCCATGCAGTTCTGGCACAATGGGGGCTCTAGAAACGGCAGGTATATTCCTGGCGTATTTTTTGGTTTAACCTATTCTGAGCCTTTAAATGAGCTCTGCAGGCAGATGGAGCGAAGCTATCTAATTTACACCGTTAGTTAATCAAAAATTCAATACTGAGTCCCTAAGTGTTAGTCAGCTCTGAGCTAAATACTACGGGGGAGGCAAGGGATAGACACCACATGGCTGCTTGCCTTGAGAAATGTCTGCTTCTGTTTGCAGGGGGAGAGCAAGCCACACGTTTTTAGTCCGTGAATGCAGCTGGTGGGAAAGTTCCATCCCTTCAGGTGGAGAGGGCTGGAGGAGCTCAGAGAAGGGAGGGATCAGTGGGGCTGGGCTAGCTGGGCGGGGCTTTGGGATAGGAAACATGGAGCTGGGTGAGGGGAGGCATCTGCCCCGCGCTCCCAGCCTCTGCACGGGGATCACCTCCATGGGGTTGACTGTGATGGTGAGCGCAGAGTCGTCCCAGTCCATCTCGGCCTCCTTGGCAGCCTCAGTCTCCTGGGTGAAGTGCTGGTGGGCGACGCGGACCCGGTACACGCCCATGGCCACAACGAACACCAGCATGCACACGGAGATGATGATGACCACTGTGGCGATGCTCGGGACCACTGGAACGAGGAGGAAATCCACACGACATGCTGAGCAAAGGACTAGCTCAGTCTTGGGTGGAGCATGAACGAAACATCCACGCTTAGGTTAAAACCTGCCCTCCCAGCTGTAAACTCTGGGTCAGCACCTTACTCTGCCTGGGCATCACTTTTGCTATCTACATAATGGTCTGAATAATTCCTGTCCCATGGTAGTTGTGAGGAGTAAATGAAATAATCTATGTGAGTTTCCACATGGGCACATAGTAGGTGCTCAATAAATGCAAGTTCTCTTCTATCTCTTGCTCTTTCCCTTAAATTCTAGGACAGCTCCCACGCAGAGCCAGGCACTGTGGAGTTCAGTGGGGACAAACAGAAGTGCCTACCAGACAGAGACACAATATGGCAGGCAAGTGCTGGAGCAGAAGTCAGGGTAGGAGACGACAATATGGTGCACGTGGGTGTGTGAGCAGATAGAAGGTCCATGGAAGGCTTCAGGCAGCGTGTAGCTTTGAGTTGGGCCTAAGAGGACTTGCAAAATTCTAGCCCAGCTCTTTATGCAAACCTGTTATTATATATTGTCTGTAACTTTTGTGTCCTTGACGGGCTCCCTACTCAGTTCTGGGCATCTATGGCTGCTGCACGCCCAACTGTCTGTTTAGTGCATGGTCTTGAGTCACAATGACCACCTAGTATCCTGAGGTCCCTCCTCCCAGGTGACCTACCTGCACTGCGCTGGATGCTACTCCGGGACTCAGGGTGGTGGACGGACTGGAGGAAGGGAGGCTGCACGATCAGGTGGTTGACGTGCTCCTCGTCTGAAACTCTGACCTCGTGGAGGACGCTGACCTGGGGAGAGCAGGGAGAGGTGCTGTTGAGCAGGAGTGGCAGGTGGGCCAGTGGCAGCAGCCCTCCTGGATAAAGGAGGGGACATATGGGTGAGCCCGGCTCCCCTGCAACTGCAGGACTCACTCACCTCCAGGTTGAACTCATTGCTGGTGTAGCGCCCGTTGAGCTCCGAGCACTTGAGCCTGAAGCGCCGGGCCCCGAGGGAGGCCGGCCGCCAGTTGCGGTAACGGATGTGATGCAGCACCTGCTCATAGCGGCTCAGGGAGCCCACACCTGTGCCGAGAGACCACGCCTGTCACGAGGAGGCAGAAGAGGAGACGGGGGAGACAGGCTGCGGCTGCTGGGGTTTGTGGGTCTCCTGAAACTGGCCAGGCTGAGAGCTCGAGATGTTTGGGGGCAGACAACGTGCTGAAGCAGAAGTTCTAAGGGGCCAATTAAACTGATCCACAGGATTCCCACATAGACTGGTTGGCCTCAATCTGCCAAATGTTGCTGTAATATTTGCTGAGATCACACATTATAGGAGAAGGCATCCACCTAGTTTCTAAAGCAATTTCCCTATGAGTGGGATGTGGGCCAGGTCCTCAAGGTGCTGGAGGGGCTCGCCAAGCTCTGAGGTCAAGGGTCCCTACCTGACCCCACCTGCACAGGAGACAGAGCCGCCTTCGCCTCATGACTCCCTGCACGAGGCCACTCTGAGAGGAGACCACCGGCCAAGGGGCTGAGCACGGCCTTACCATAGATGGAGTAGCCCGCGGTGGAGTTGGTGGCGTCCAGGTGTCGCTGGTGGAGCTCACTGTGGTTGAGCTCCAAGCACTCCTGTCTCGGGTCCAAGTCCCCGTCCAGCACCAAAATGTCACAGAAATCTAAGTTGTGAAGCATTTCGTCCAAGACTGCTGATTTGGGGGCTGTGGGAAGACAGACACATGGAAAACACAGGTGTGAGGATAGCTCGGAGAATGGCCCTGGCACGTCACCTTCCTCCTCTGGGACTGCACCCCAGCTTCAGGCTGGGTCAGGAGAAGAGGCTGTGTAACCCCAAGTACCACCTCCACTGCTCAGATGGATGTCCAGGCAGCCCCCTAGGCTGGGCACACGACTTTGTGTGAAGAGCATAAATACAGTAGTCAAAAGATGTGAGTTCGGGTACCAGCGCTGCTACTGAGAAGCTGCATAGTATTAGAGAAGCTATCCACTCCTCAGTTTCCTCATCCTTGAAGAGGGCATGGGTCTTGAGAGGATTGAAAACACACAGTCTGCACTGTGTAGCTCTGGCGCACAGGAGGTGCTCAATAAGCAACAGCTCTTATTCGGGACCAGGGATAAGTGCCCTCCCCTGTGCTCTCATAGCTTTCCCCTGTGGTCATGGCAGGTGCCTCTGTCACCCCCAGCAGACTCTGAGGTTCTTGAGGCAGACACGCCTTCTATGACTGACCCCTCAGTATCTAATCCAGGGGTGGGCATGGAGCAGTATTACTACACACCGCTCAAGGGGAGCTGCATCGTTAGTATAATGAAATAATTAAGTAAATTGTTTAGTCTAGTTGGCAAGCTGTTGGTCAGACTAGCTGTCCTTGACTGATTTTATGACCCCAAATTTCCCAAAGGAATGTCTGAGTGTTTGAATGCTGGACAGGTTGGCAATCTCAAATTAAAATTCTACCTTAAAATTATGGAGTCCTTGCTACGTGCCAGGCACTGTGCAAACGGAATGCTAACAGACAGACATTAGAGGGGTACCATTAGCATCCTCGTTACATGGATGGGGAAACGGAAGGTCCAGGGGGCGGCATGGATTGCCCAGGGTGCCCGAAGTTGCACAGAAAGCAGAGGAGGAGCTGGGACAGAAACCATGACTTTCAGATTCCACAGTTGGTTAAGTCTTAACCTCTGGGCCAGAGGTCTGCAAATAGTTTTGATCTTGGAAGACTTTTATTGAAAAATTTGTGAACAGAGATCATTTAAACAAGCATATTTATTGATTTATAAAGTGGACTAATATATTTTGTTCATTGTAAAACATTTATAAAAATAGAAGTTAAAAGGGGCCGGCCCGGTGGCGCAGCGGTTAAGTTCGCACGTTCCGCTTCTCGGCGGCCCGGGGTTCGCTGGTTCGGATCCTGGGTGCGGACATGGCACTGCTTGGCAGCCATGCTGTGGTAGGCGTCCCACGTATAAACTAGAGGAAGACAGGCACGGATGTTAGCTCAGAGCCAGGCTTCCTCAGCAAAAAGAGGAGGACTGGCAGTAGTTAGCTGAGGGCTAATCTTCCTCCAAAAAAAAAAAAAAAAAAAGAAGTTAAAAAAGGATTCACTAAAGATGAGAGAATTATTCTTCATATTTTGTTTAAGTTTTTAGTGATAACAAAAAGAATTTTTGCTCTCACTAGATATGTATTATTATAAATGGTTTTGTATGCTTAATTTTTAAATGCTTGCCAATCTCAGTGGCTTCACGGATTGCTGGCACAATCTAAAAGCACATTAATACATGCTTACAAGGTCTATCATTAACAATAGTGTATGTATAGCTCTACTTCGAATGGCCTTCTCTGGTTTCTGGGGTTTTTTGGCCAGGTTCTGATCAGGTCAGGCTAGGTCCTCCTCATTCTCCCTCCCAACTTGGCGGGCTGGTTGCTCACACCAGGTAGAGGGCGTGTTGTCCCTGCCATCTCTCCTTGTTCTCCTGTGCTTGCACTGAGGTAGTTATCTTCCATCTGCGGTTTCCATGATGCCCACTGTGGGGAAGGGTCTGTGCTGGGCTCAGGTGCTGAGAGGGGAACCAGCCATGGGTGGGCCCTCAGGAGCTCCTGTCTGGAGTGATAAACAGATAACACCACCGAGCGCCAGCAAACGTGTCTTCGCAGGAAGCAGCAGTGGGTGGGGGTGCACAGAGCAGGAGCCCTAACCCCGTCCAGGGTCAGGGTGGAGAGGGGGAGGCCTTCCAAAGGAGGTGTTGCAGGTAGACAGGCTTGCCAGCCATAATGGGGGAAAGGGAGGGGGAGGGACCTTCCAGGGAGGTGGAGGGTGAGCAAAGGTGGGAACTGACACAGGTGTGAGAGAGAGGGGAGTGCAGGACCGCACCCCCCGGGCCCCCCCCCCCCGCCCCCTGCCGAGCCTTTGGTGCTGAAACAGCACAGAGTGGGTCAGTGGGGGCAGAAGATGCTGCTGGAGTGGGTCACTGAGACCTGGTGGCAAAGGCCATTAGCCTGCGTGTTTAAGGGCACCATGATGATTATTCTAACAATGAGTGAAATGTAAAAAGCACTAGAAACAGCTCTCGGGCACTTGGCTATGCACCTGCCTGCTCCTCTCACAACCAGATGCTGAGCTGTGGACCCAGGTCACGGCTCTCCTTTCTCCCACCTTGCCTGCATACTGGTGCCAGGCCTGCGAAGCCAGATGCTCTCAGTTACAGCCTGCAGCCGCCAGGGCAGAGGCCCTTCCTTTTTCTGTCAGATTTTAGCCACAAATGAGGGAGAAAGCGAAGATCGCACAACCTGATGCCCCTTGGAGTGTGACTAGGAAACCGCCTGCTGGGACAGGTGGCAAACACCGTCTGTTTTTGTGAGCTCAGGAGGGCTGCTGTGTGGGGCACCCCGTTCGCTAGGGACCAGGGTGGTTTAAGGCAGTGGGTAATTAGGATTATTATAGGAGCAGCCCTTCAGGGACTCAGGCCCCCTGGCACCAGCACATCATTAGCAGCTGCTTTTGGAGGGGAAGGCGGAGAGTTTAAATTCTTCTCTTGGAGGAGGCAGCAAGGGACAGTTCTCACACAGACATTTCCCCTAGAGATCTGGGCCCTGGGTTTTCCTTCCTTCTTTCCTTCCTTCCTCCTTCCCTCCCTCTCTTCCTTCATTATCCTTCCTTCCTCCCTCCCCACCAGCAGAACATACTGTAGCTTTCGATGCAACTAAGTGTTCTCCCTGGCACATAATTCAAATTGTTCTGCTTTCACCGAACAGCCCTCCCAATAACGAAACTGCTGGAAAGAACGACCAGAAAGTTTCCTGAGAGCTTAGACTAACATTGCTGAACAGGACTTGACTTTACTGTGGGTGTATTAAGATGCAGTCATATGTTCTCTTCGTGCTTCTTTAGCTTTCCTTCGGATTATCAAAATGATGCATGCACATGATAGAACATTTTTCAGTTGCAAAACGTGAAGGCAACCAGAAACAAATTGGCTCTTCTCACGCTTCTCAGAGAATATCACTGTTAGCATTAGCTGTGTTTCTTTCTTGGCATTTTCCTATGTGTTTTTTTCTTTACATGGTTGACCTCATTCTACGTGTAGATGCTCTGTAATTTGCATCTTGCCTTTTTTCACTTACCGTTTAGCATAAACGCCTTTCCTCTAACATCATATGGCTTATATGGGAATCCCGTAACTTGCTAAGCCACTCATTCCCCTCCTGTTATTTATCTGCGTTGCTTCCAGGTTTGTTTGTTCTGCTATTCTAAATTACCCTGCCGTGGGGAACAATGCTGTTGTCCTGAAGTAGGATTCTGCCTGGCTGTGAGAACTTAAGGCCCACTGCCCACAACCCAGTATGCACCCATACCTGTGGTCTTTAAATCCCCCGGGGCCTCGGCTTTGGCGAAGGTGCTCACAATCTTGATGTCGGGGAAGAGGAGCACCCCACGGGCACTTTCAAACTGGGCAGCGGGTCTCCAGAAGCGGTCCGTGCCGCGGAGGGTGATCTGGGGCTCGACAGCCTGCAGCACCATCACGTAGGCGTCCACGTCGGGGATGCTGATGCACACGTCTTCCCCAAAGCACCTGCGAAAACAGCTGCAGTCACGCCACTGAAGAGCAGATGCTGAAATCATCTGTCATCGGCCGTGGACGAGGATACATACAGCCACCTCTAGTCCTTGACGAGGCATCCTGACTGCCTAAGAGTCTCTGAGGATGTCAACAGACATTCAAATTTAAAGCCAAGTTATAGTCAAAACACTAGCAATCTAGAGACTTAAAAAGATTGGCTTCTGGGAGAAATGGGAATTTGCTATACCAGCAACAAGTAACTGTTAAGCCTTTAATTATCCTTTAGCAAAGTAATCAATGGCAACTTTAATTAGATAGAAACCGCTTGTTATGTGCATAAGGATTTGGTAAGCAAATTGTTGTCTAACTGGATGCTTACAGCCATCTTACTAAGTGGGACCCCAGGGCTAGACTCCCCTGCGCTGCATATATGTTCTCTCTCTATGAGGATGTCACATGAGAGCACCTGTTCCAGGTATGCCAGCAGAATGCTAGTGTAATCACGCTCCTTTTTCCTGATATACTGCCACAAAAATATCTGACTGCCAGAATGGTGTGACAAGAGCAAGGCCTGGGAAGGCAGACAGACAAGGGTCCACAGCCTGGCTCTGCCACTCCCGGGCTGGGTGACGCTGGGCAAGGTGCTTGACTCTTGTGAGCCTCAGTTTCTTCATCTATACAATGGGGATGACGATAATTAATTACCTTCTAGTAGTAAGGATTAAATGCAGACGACGTGTAGAAAAGAAGCCACCCCAGAGCCTGCCTCATGGTTGGAACTCAGTAAATGTTGACAGATCCAATGTGCTCATCAGACCTCATCAGACATGCATGTCACTGGCACTCTCCACTGGTCATTTAGGCCAGAGACCTAGGCTACAGTGGAGAAGCCAGGGTCCAGATGGAGCTCTGGGAATGTGCAGAGGCCTCCAGCTGGTGGCAGCCATCCTCTTGCATCCTTTGGGAAAGGTCCCGACGGAAGGGCAGGGGCTGGATCCCATGCAGAGCCTCTCCATCCTCTTCTCTGGGGTGAGTGAGACGTGGGAGTGGTGGTGAGCTCCTGCTCCCAGTTTTCTCTGGCCTTTCCTACACCAAACCCAAAGCTTACAGAGGATATCCCTCCCCTCCCCAGCTTATGGGAAGCCTGGCCCCGGAGCTGGAGAGTGGCCAGTCTGGTCCCTCTTCACTGCAATGTGGAGCCAACCTGCAGGTGCCTGCTCTTACCCCAGGCCTCCAGAAGTGGCCTTTAGTGTGGAGGTGGGAGCCCTTCCACCATCGCTAGGACTATTGAAGGTAATTGCCAGCTGGGCTTTATCCTGGCACCTGTCCCAGGCCCCACAACATGACAGTCAGCAGACCCATCTTTCCCTCTCTTGTTTCTGTCTTTCTGGGCCCCTCCCCTGCCTCCAAGCGCCAGCGGACTCCCCTTCTGCTTCCCAGGAGTGTTCCTGGGGTCCCCTTCCTAGCTGCCCTCCCAGGCAGCTGCTGTGGCTGAGAAATGATTTGGTAGGCCAGTAAGGGAGGTATCTAAAGGCCATAGCAATAGTCTCAGCTCCTTAATTTAACTCTGATCCCAGGGGACAAGAACCGTACCTGCTCTTTCTCTCACATGCTCCCAGTATTTAGGAGTGCTACAAAGGTGGGCTGGTCGACTTAATTCAATTAATAAACATTTGTGAAGCACCTACCACGTACCAGGCACTGTGGCCTTAAATCACTCCACTTAAAACCCAGTTCTCTGAGAATTTACAGGAAGCAGTGCCTTCCGGGCATTAGATCAGAAACAGAATAAGACAGCTCAAGCTGGATTTCAGTTGGGAAAACAACAGAACATTTTCTTTAAGAAGGAGGACACAGGTCCACTGGGGCGTCCTCACAGGGAGAGCAGAGAAACTGCGACCAGCTGGAGAGGGGTGCATCCTGTCATGCAAGGGAACATTCCCAAGGGGCCCCCGCCCCCCTCGCCTCAGCAGGCCCGGCTGACCCGCGTCCACTCACTGCACTTCGGAAGAGACCTTCAGGCGCCGCACACCCGCGGTCGGGAACTGCCTGGAGTTGATGTAGGAGACCTTCTGGAGGGCACGGTTGATGTTCCCAATGTCGTCCCCTTCCATCACCAGGACGGACTGCGAGGGGTTGAAGTGATACTGGAAGACAGAAGAGGGTGTCACAGGAGAGAATGATCAACCATGTGCACGGTCCCATGGAGACACTCCAGCTCCATGAAAAGGCCACTCAGGCCAGCACAGGCGTCTGCCGGGCATCTGCCAGCACGGCAGCTGTGTGCACTCATGACTGTGTTAACCCCCTGGTCGGCTTTGAGAGCCTCCCCTGTAACACCCCTGTGGATTATAAACTCCCAGGAATATTGGCTGAGCCACAGGAGGGAATTCTGAAATCCAGTCACAGGCTCTTGCAGCCCAGCCCTTGGTGGGGGTGACCCACGCTCTGTGGTTCCCTGGGGTCCTGAGCAGAAACTTTGAGCCCTTGGACTGCCCACCCCCTCAGCCAACAGCCCAGAAACTTGGGGCTTGGGCTCCTCTGGCTGTTGTTGTCTTTGGCCTTGAGCTGCTCCTCAGTTCACCCTGAATTCCACTTCCTGACCCAGGCCCCATCTTCTTAGCTTTCAAATTGAAAGCTCATTTTGCAGTTCATGGCTTTCCTTCTCTCTTAGATCTGATTCTTGGTCTTGCTTTCCTGGTGCTAAACTCTAGTTTCCCATGAATTTTACTCACTTGCTGTTTACATGCCTGCCCTCTGCCCCAGGTCTGTCTATTCCTTCCATTCTGAGCCTCTGGTGTCCCAGGGACTATGATGCTCCCCGCTGAGTCACTTGGGTCCTCCAACTAGATAAACTAGGTCCAGACTCTGCTTCTCCCGCATGCCCTGGGCTGTCCCTCTTCTTTGAATGGAGCATAGAGAACTGCTTTCCTACTGGTCTGAGTTATTGAGCTTGACACACTTCTGAGCAAGAATTATTAGGAACTGCTATGAATAAGATGTCGGGAACATGTCTGTGGATTCAGATTATGTATCCAATGCTCATCTCACAGGAAAGAAAGACGTGGATGTATTTTTATGTAGCTACTTGGCAACAATGATTTAGTTTTTTGAATAGATAATATATCTATATGGTTCATATATATACATGTGCAAAGTGGCAAAGTGAAAGTGTCCTTCTTATTCCTATCTCTCATCCACCCAGTTTCCCCAATCCCATCCCACAGGTAATCACCGTTATAGTAATTTTCTCAGTGACAGATTGCCTTATCGTTCATAACTAGTTGCTTCCCCTCCCAGTGAGAGGCTACTCATGCCTGCCCTATGGTCAACAGGCTTGATCATGTGACTTATGGTACCCTTCTTTGCAGGATATACACTTTTGACCTGTTGCACCCAGTAGTGGGCATGTGATGTGCTTGGCCAACAAAATGTCAGCAGAAGTATTTTTAGCTTCACTCCCATGTGGAAGATTTAACAGCCAGCTCATGGTTTGCCATCTCCCATTCCCTCTGCCATGAAACCTGCAAAGCTCCCTGAGGTCCACCAGCCTGGGTTTCACAGTGGGTGGTATGGATCAGAGCTGCAGCCAATCTATAATGGACATGAAATGTGAACAACGACAAAATTTGTTGTATAAGCCACTGAATCTTTTAAGTCATTTGTTACTGCAGCATAACCTCGCCTATCCTGACAGTTACACTTAAGTATTCTTATGAATATACAGTCAAGGGATATGCATTCCCATTTTTCTCCTTTCTTACACCAAGGTAACTTATTTCATACTATACTCTACTTTACTTTTTTGCACTTAGTTCATATCTTGGAGATCTTTCTGTGTCAGTACATAATAAGATTCCTTATTCTTTTTTATTTTTACAGCTGAATATTATTTAAAATTAAATAAACTATAATTTATTTAACCAGTCTCCTAGTATGAACATTTGGGTTGTTTCCAATCTCTTGCTAATAATGCCACAATGAAATTTGTCGTACATGTAACATTTTACAAGTGTGTAAATACATCTGTAGAATAAATCTCTACAAGTGAAATTGCTAAGCCAAAGAGTATATGCACTTTAAATTCCAACAAATGTTGCCAAATTCCCAGTTGCTAGGGATTATATCAAGATACACTCCCTCTAACAGTGGAGGAGAATGCCTCTTTTCTCAAAACCTCCACAACAGAGTATGCTGTCAGACTTTGGGATTTTTGCCAATCTGATACATGATAAATGGGTTCTTAGTGCAGTTTTAATTTGCATTTCTCTACCATGAAAGAGACTGTTTCCATGAGTTTAAGGGAAAAATCTATCTATATTAGCTTTCCCTGTTCAGTCTTGATGTCTTTATGAGTTCCTCATTCTGTGCATGGACCCCAACAGGAAGTAGACATCTCATGAGCACTAAGGATGACACTGGCTCATGTAAGTCCCTTGCACTGTGGCCCCTAGCCAACTGGTAGCTCAGTCTTTGTCTTCTTCAGCTATCACATGAGTGCTTTCTCCTTTCCTCCTCCTCAAGACCTCCCCGGCTTCCCTCATTTTGGTCCTCACTGGGCTCCTATAGTGCTTAGGAAATAGCAGGATGATTATTGTAGTGCAGTGACCATGAGCTCACTGAGGACGGGGGCTCGGAATCATCCTGAATCCCAGAACCCAGTCCTAGCGCCCTGTAAGCCCCTGTTCCATGAACGAGTGAATGGTTCCCCCGGCCCACATTTTACTCAGTACCATCTCATGTTACTCCTCAAAGGGACTCTTTTTTCAGTCAAGCCTTCGTGGGAGTCCCTATCAGTGCTGCCAAACCCTGTTCTCCTTTCGTTCCTGGGCATCCTGGAGGCTGCACTTCCCAGTGGCCCTGAGCCAGGCGGGTGGGGCCATGTGACTTCGTCTGGCCAATGTGAGGGAGTGGGGCGGGGTTTCTGGGCTGAGGCTGTGAAAAGCCATGTGGGATGCTCCACCCTTTTTCTTCCTCTGCTTTGGTGGCCCATGGCCTTCTGGGCAGAAACCCTGCCTCACCTCTGCAACTTAGAGTGAGAGAAAAATTAACTTTTCAGCATTAAGCCGTGGAGATTTTGGAGTCATTTGCTACTGCAGTTGCTTATCCCGTTTAGGAAGAATTCAGCCCTCCCAGGCACGGTTCTCTCTCCCCTAGGCTGTGGCATCTTTCATCCTGAGCTGCGGGGACTGTCATACTCCAGCTCCAGTACAAGCTATAGAGTACAACCTCGGACTATTTACTTCCCCTTTCTGGACTTTATTTCCTCATTTAAAATAACGGGGATATTAATATCTCCTTGTCTGGGGCTTAAATGAGATAACATATATAAAGTATCTAGCATTTAAAAGGTGTTCAGTCTGTGATGGCTTTTATTATAAATCTTAATATTGTAATTATGTCTGCACTAAGTCTCTGCCCCTGGCTGGCACCCCTGCGTTCACAGCTCTCCCTCCCTACCATCTTGTAGCTCCTGTCCTCAAAGCCTGGAGCAGCGTCCCTCTGAGCCGTGATGTCTGGTCACATGCACCGCTGCGGTGCTGGGTTCGGGAGCCCCCGGGGAATATGCGCGGGCGATGCCTGGGTCAGCCTCTGGGCGGGCTTCTCTCTCGAAGCGGCTGCCTCACGAGCTCAGTGAGCTCAGCCATGGAGCTGCCCTGCGCTGGGGAGTCACTGTTAGCTCTGACTGTTGCACAAGTCATGGGTTTCTGATTTGAGCAGATTCACGGTTCTTCTAAAAACATCACTTCTGTTCCACACGTTTTTCTGTCCCCTGCCCTGCACCACCCCTGCTACAGCAGAGCCTTGTGGTGCTGTTGCTGTCTGTCTGTCTGTCTGCCTGCCTGTCTGCCTCCCTCAGCAGGCTATGAGTACCTGGGGGGCAGGGGTTACTGATTCTCGGCATCGCCACGGCGTCTGGCACACGGACGTGGGAGGGAAGGCCATGAGCGCTGCAGGAGAGGCCGATCTCCGAGCCTCGCCTGACGGCTGAACAGGAAAATCAAGCGGTTCTCCCAGAAGGATGGATTGGCAGCATCCCCTGGCAGTCAACAGAGGGCACGTTCCCACTGCAGCCCCCCACCTCTCCCCCCAGCTGGAGGACGGTTTAGGGAATGTGTTGGACCTCCAGTTAACACCCTGGTCTTGCTGCCAGAGCATCCCAGGGACTGCTACAGGGCAGGCTGGCCGGCAGTGGCCTAGCCGGCAACAACATTCTCGAAGGATCAATAAAACCTCCACTAAAATAGGTTTTGTTTGTCTGTTTTGTTTTCTTAAACTGCAGTGTTTGCAGCCCTGTGGTGTGTGTGACCAAGGGTCGGTCTCTGGTTGTGCAGGACACAGGATGCTATTGGTATTACCACAGAGGCAGGAGATGGCTTCCTGGGGACCTAGCAAAGGGTGACAGTGCTCACTCGCCCCTGGGAAGCTGTGCTGTAGCCACGGTGATTCCTGTCATTGAGTCATGAAGCTGCAATGGTCTGCTCTCCTAGAGGGTTGGCCGGTGTCATCAGCCACCTAGCAGGCTGGGACATCAGTGAGGTCCCTGCCCAAATCCCGGGTCTGCACCTGAGGGCAGACTGGCCATGGCACTCCAGTTACCCTACCGTTCCCTTGGACACCTGCCAGCCCCTCTGGGCTGGGCCAGATGGAAATTTGCCACGTTAGAGGCTCCTCTGCCACAACTGTCACCCAGGCTTACCTTTCAAAAGAAGCTGGAGCAGCAGCCACGCCAAGTGCCAGCCCAGCAGGAGAAGGGAGCTGTGATTTGGAAAGTCTCTTAGGTTTGCTCGGGGAGATAGATCTATATGTATATACATATGTATATGTTTATCTATTTAATCTCTATGTATATCTTTTCTATGTCTATATCTAATATATATAAATGTATAAAATATACATCTAGAGATATATAAAAATATATAAAATTCAATTCTCACAACATCACTACAAAATAATATTAACTCCATCTTATACAAGAGGGAATTGGGGCTTAAAGAATTAAAATGCATTGCCCAAGGTCACCCGGCTAGTAGATATCCATACTGTGATTTGAACCTAGGAGTGTCTTGTTCCAAAGTTCTCGCTCTTTCTCACTCTTCCACTCTGTGGAGATGGCAAATTGGCAGGGATTATGCTATGAAAATGAGAACAGGGTATTCTTCAGGAATGTGCCTATTCCACAGTGCCTCGTGTGGATACAAGACAGCAGCTACCCCAATCATTTAGTGACTCCAGACATGCCGGAGAGGTAGTCAGAAATAGGCATGGTCCGGGAAATGAGGGAGAGGAGGAGTCAGCGCCGGTCACCCTGAGCAGCTGGGAAGCTGCCCTCCTCACAGGAGGACCTCGCTTCTTCTGACTAGCCAGAGAGAAGGGAGGAGGCCAGGAGCAGGGAAAGAATAGTCATTATTCAGAAACGAAATGAGGGATAAATGGAGGAAGGGCAGGAAGGAAGGCAGCTTTCATAATGTTTAAGAATGCCTTCTAATCTGAGTTGCTGGTGTGGAAGAAAGAGCATGGACTTATTTTGGACAAGTCCCTGAGCCCCAATCTCCTTATTTCTGAAATGGGGTCGTAATATTTAATTTGTTGTGAGGAGTAGAGATAATGAACTTAAAATAGCCCCAGTGGGTGCGCCGTAAATTGTGTCTTATCATTCACTGCTCACACACCACTCTAGTTCTTGCCAGCCTCGCCCTGAGGGTGGAAAAGAACCGTTTGCAGTGACTGGTTCTGAGCAGGTGGCATCTTGAGAAGTTGGATTAGCCTCCCCACCCCCAGCTCTTTGTGCCACTTAGTTTAGCACGTCCTCTTTTCACAGGTGATGACTGCTATGTAGAAATTGCTGGGGTTCTTAATTTATAATTCTAAGAATGCGTGGCTTTTAAGTCTAGCATCTTGGGTTTACTTGTTCCTCAGTGCTTGGAATCCTGAAACTGTCGCCACATGGGATGATGCAAAGCAGAGATCAACTCAGAGGCAGGGAGCAAATCCAGAATCAGAGAGGGGAGGGCTGGAGGATGGATTTCTGCATCACTGGATTGACAAAACACTAAGGAAACAACACAAGCAGTAGGTCAAGGATCGAACCCCAGGCTCTGCACAGGAGGATATCTGTGGGAAATGTGCCATGAGGGGCTTGCCTGGGCCAGCTGCCATGAAACAGACCAGTGGAAAGCTGCCTTTCCAATAGAGGCGGTCTTGTGAGTTTCCTTCAATGACGGGTGATCGGCTATTAAGAACACCTGTGTGTGTGTGCGTGTGTGTGCACGCGTGTGTTTACTACACATTAAACAATGCTGTGGAAAGCCATTCTTGCCTTACCTTGCCTGTGTACCCCTCCTGTCTTCCCCCTCTGACCCAGTCTCCAGGGTGAGCATCATAACCCCACAACTGCCAGATCATGCTCCCCCACCTGGAGCCCTTCCATGGCTGCCTGTTGCTGACAGATTAAACAAGTAAATAAAATAAACCTCTAAACACAGTTAGCAAGGCCCCGTGACCTGGCCTCTGCTACCTCTCTGGTCACGCTGTCTGCCTTTCCTCCTGCAGGCTGGGCACCTGTAACAGTGGCCTTCTTGGAGTTCCAGGGCACACTGTGGGTTCCCCCTCTGCCATTACTCATGCTCTTGCATCTGCCTAGAGTCACCGTCCTGCCCTCTCCCCTGACCCTCTGCCTTTTTCCTGGTTGGTTTACCCATCCTGAAACATTCTGCTCAGACTTTGCCTCCTCCAAGGAGCCTTCCTGAACTGCCCTTCCCCGGTTCTGGAGTGGGACTGCGGGGTTCAAGTTCTGGCTCTGCTCATTATTAGCTCTGGGATCTTAGGCAAGTTTCCTTTCTCTTCCAGTCGTCAGTTTCTCATGTGCAAAATGAGAATATTCATGGTACCTTTGTCATAGGGTTGTTCTGGGGCTTAAATGAGTCAATATCCATAAACCTTTTGGAACAGTGTCTGGCACGTGGGGGACCCTCAGTAAATGTTAGTGCTCGCGATCCCTGTAGCAGTCGCCACACTGGATCACAAACGTCTGCTTGGCCAGTGAGTTCCCTGAAGACAAGAAGCTTGGAACACGTATTTTTTTTTTTTTTTTTTTTTTGAGGAAGATCAGCCCTGAGCTAACATGTGCTGCCAGTCCTCCTCTTTTTGCTGAGGAAGACTGGCCCTGAGCTAACATCTGTGCCCATCTTCCTCTACTTTATATGTGGGACGCCTACCACAGCATGGCTTGCCAAGCGGTGCCATGTCGGCACCCGGGATCTGAACCGACGAACACCAGGGCCACCGGAGTGGAATCTTCGAACTTAACCGCTGTGCCACTGGGCCAACCCTGGAACATGGATTTTTGTGTCTTGCTCAGCCCATAACCGAATCACATGGCTGTCCGTGGAATGTTTGCTGAAGAGACTTAAAGAGAATCAGGCTGTGCTCAGGTCACCAGCCCCTCCAGGACTACCCAAGTCAGAGCCCCACAGCCCCACAGCCCCACATGGACAGTGTAATTAAGAGGGCTTTGTCTTGCACGGGTGACTCCCCTGTGCAGAAGAGGCAGGCCCCGGGCGGAGCTCCACGGGGCAGCACTGGGTGCCAATGGGGGGGGGGGGTGGGAAACCTCTGCCCTGGCCATGCCCTCCTTGGGAAGGCTTCACAGCTGCTGGGGCCTGGGGGTCGGGGAGAGGCTGGCCTGTACCCCAGAAGCAGAGGGTGGGCCAACCAACTTTCAGAGAGGAGGCAGAGGGGCTGCCTGCTCTCACTGGGGTCCGCTATGACTGAGTGGTGCTATGATGATGTTTACCTTGCTCTTTGACCAGGACCCAGAGGCCTGATGCCAGCAGGCACTCCTAAAGTCCAGGTGAGGCCATAACCATCCTCTGCTTGTCAGGGAGGCACTCGCTGAGGACTGCCGGCCACATCCTGCCCCCTCGGGGGGAGCTTTTCTCGGGATGTATCTTTGCTTCTCTTGGATCACTCGAATGTTTTTATTTTGCGTGGATAATAAAAATCATGACTGCTCACATTCCCTTTGACCGCTAGAGATGGCTCGGAGGCCAATCTGTGCCTCGACCTAACCCTGTAAGACCCAGCGACCTCCATTTCTGCTTTCTAATTGCACCCCACTCAGGGTTGACCTCCTTTTCTAATTCGTATTTTACATGGTCCGAACTTTTTATGTTTTTGGAATGTATTCTTGCATGCTACTTCAGTTCCTTTGGGCAAATAAATGACAAAGCAACCACTAGTCCAGGAACAAATTACATGTGACAACTCCCTCCAGCTAGACACTGAACATGTGCCCGCTTTGGGGTAGTGAACTGACTGCACACAGGGCTTCATCTCGGAATTTCCAGAGATGGCAGAAGTCCATGGTGGGGTCACGGTGGCTAATCTCCCCCCGTGGCAGCCCCTTTGCCCGTGGCACCATCTCTGTGCAACTTGACAGGCAAGGACTCCCTTTCCCAAGATGCACTGGTGCTGGGCAGCCTCCACTCACCAATTGGCGTCTTCCTGAAGGTGAAGCCGTCTCCTTCCTTACCTTTATTCCTCGGCCGAGGCTTTCCAGGGAATTAATATCCAGCCCTTCCTTGCAGGCCTGCAGGCAGGAAATCACCTTCTGACTCTCCATTTTGCCAGGGCGGATGGTCAGACTGGCCAGGCTGCCGTGGAAGAACTGGGCAAAACGTGGTTTGGCCACTTCTCCTCCTAAAAGAAAGAGAAGCGCCCTTATTTGCCCTCTGGAGATTGAGTCTGAAACACCACTTCAAGGCACCACCTGGCCAGGGAGCCGAGGACACAGTGACTGTGTCCCCGAAACCTGAGCTCTTCCTTCCGAGTGGTGAGCTCAGGGGCCAGAAGCTCAACCAGAGATGTTATTTGCCGCCAAGACCATGGCACTCCCCAGCGGCACCTGACTTAGGAATCCTGGAATTTCTGAATTTTAAAACAGTTACTTTCAGAGGCAGGAACTGTCTTAGAAGACAGGAAGGGCTGACAGAGTAAAAAGAGGAGGGAGAAGGAAGCTACCAGTGATTAAAGGCCTGCTGTGCCAGGCTGTCTGCTGAGGACTTCACCTGAACAAGCGGCAAGGACGGTATCACTGTTTCCAACAGACACATGAAGAACCCTGAGACTCAGAAGGTTGAGGGACTTGTCCCAGGACACACAGCTAAATGCTGGAGCCGGTACTCTAGTCCTGGTCTGTCTGACTCCAAAGCTGGCATGTGCTCCCCTATATTCCGCTGAGAGCTTGGCATGCAGTGGAGGACTCCCAGAGACACCCCATCCATGGGCTCTGGCTCTCTTGCTAAGAGCTGATTTCGCATCTGCCCAGATTCATGCTCTTTGACATAGAAGGACTTCCTCTATTCCGTCCTTCCTCTGACTTTCTTCTCATCGCCTACCTCCTGTATTCTCCTGTTCTCTCTACTGGCTCAGCTGCATCCTGTCTGGGCTGGGGTCTACTCTTGGACGTGTGAAATTGCTCAATGAGGCTCATGTTGCAAAGCCAGCCTGAGACTCACTTTCTCCCATTTTCTCCATGGTTTTCCAAATCAGCCCTCCCCTAAGGTCCATCTTGAATCCTCGCCTCCACCAGGAGGCCTTCCCCACTGACTCCATGGGCACAGACCCCTTCCGTCTCCAGGCAGCCGACTCCAACAGACTTAGCCTTGATCTTGCACTTCTGTTCAGAGAGGTGGCAGGACATATAGGAAAGGGGGATCTGGATTGAATTCCAACCTTGCTAAGTCCTGGGAAGGTTTTGTAACCTCTCTGAGCCTCCGCTTGCTTGTAGGGGACACTTCTGTGTTTGCCTCCCGGTTCTCTGCACTCTCTCAGCTCCAGCAGCTTCCCCAGGGCCTGGCTCCTGCAATGCACAGCCAGCACCTTCTCCCAGGAGAGTGTGCTCCACTGAGACACCACCCTGTGGACACTTTCCCAGCACCCTACACCATGGTGCCTCTGCATTTCTCTGTCCTTGAGTGAGCCATGCTGTGTCAGCAAGTCTGGACGGCAGGCTGTGGGGATGGGGTGGAGGGAGCTCCCTAGGGTGCTCTGTCCAAGCCCTGGGGGTGTGGATGCTCCTGATGCCTGCTTCTCTCTACGCTTTAGAGTTCTCTCTACTTGTTAGTAGCCGCTCCTTCATTATTCCAATCCTATGTTATGGTTAATAATTCTTTATATTTCCCTGTTGAAATTACAGTGTGGTTTCTCTCTCCTGGTTGGGCCTAGACTGATACAACCCTTGATGTTTGCACGCACCCATTCTTCCTCCCTCTGAGATACCATCTCCAAACTGCTCGGATACACAAATCCCACCAGTCCTTCAAGGCCCCTTAAGCCCCCTTACCCCTGTGGCTCACAGAAAACTAACCCTCAGCCCCTACCCACCATGCCCTTGCCCTGTCCTCAGCCCCTGCCCACCATGCCCTCTCCCCGCCCTCAGCCCCTTAGAGCAGCAGATGCAATAACTATCATTTCCTGGATGTGAACTATGTTTCCAACACGTGTGCAGTCCTCAGCATACATCATCTTATTGAATCTTCATCAAAGTCTCGGGAGGTTGGTACATATTCTGTAGTTACAGATGAGCAAACTCAGGCTTAGAGAGGAGGAGTAAGTGGCCCAAGACCACACAAGTAGGAAGTGGTGCAGTGTGTGTCTCGACAGTGTGAGTACGGCCATCCCTGCACAGGACCAGCTGGAGCATCCTGCTGGGGCTGGTCAGCCCAGTCCAGAGCGAGGCTGAGAGAGAGCCCACTGTGGTCCATCATCTAGCCCCCCTCAACTGCTCACTCAGCAGCTCCATCCTCAAAGACCAAACTTTGCGACTCTCTTGGATGCTAAAACATTTTCCTACACACTGTTTTCTCGCAGCGAAACATTCATCTTCTGTATTTTTGACTCAAGAATCCCAGATCCGTGATGCATTCCATTTATTAGGGACGCAGCTCCAGGAAATCAATTCAATTAGCATTTGGCATTAGGAGGCCAGCATAAACTCTGAAATATATTTGCACTCAGGGTGCAAATGCAGGATTTTGAAAAATAATAGACACACTGAAAATCTCTTTCTTTTTTAACATCTAGGGTGGCTGCCTACACCACATGGTGCCTCTGTTAACATTTAGACATACACATGCTCATGAATTATTTTAAGAAAAAAAAATAACCTGACTTCTAACACAAAGAACCTTCTCTAAATGTTTGTGAACATGATTTTGGATTCCTGAGGTGAGATCTGCACACATTTTAAAGTGTTTGCTGTATGCCTAGCCTTCTGTTAGATTCAGTTAATTATGAGATGTGGACCATGCTCTCCAAGAGCTTACATTTAGTTGGGAGAATAAAGTATAGACACTGGGAAAGTAAAATAAAAATATAAGAGTAAATTGGCAGTACAATAGATATTCTAAGACAGTGCATGATTAATTTCCAAACAAAGGATATAGATAATGTGTCCAACAGATCACAGGGGAAAAACAATAGCCATCATTTATTAGGTCCTTAAAACATGGCAAGTTCTTTCATGTGCTATTCTGTTTAATACTTAAGTGGCAGGATAGCACTTCTGAGATGTTAGTCTCCGGTCTTTTAATTTCTCCCCTCTTACCCTCCATTGAAATACATCTCTGGTTTGTGCTCATGGCCACAGGAAGGGTTGTGACAGGGAGAAGAATGCATGGGGCTTGAAGCTGAGTCTCTCCCCAGTTTTGTTTCCCGAAAGCTAAACCCTTGGGGGGGGGGGGAACATCTGCATATGGATTAACATTTGGGAAAAAAGAGAAGCAGAAAATCTGGCTTCCCCTAGACTAGGACATGATACCCCAGACTGGGAGTGGGAGGTGGCAGGGAGGGGCAGAGGGGTATAAGACAACAGAGATGCAGAGTGAGGGCCCTGAAGCCTGACCCCTGGGCTGAGCCCTGGAAAGGGTGTGTGATGTTGGGAGGTAAAGCCAGTCTGGTGTTTGGACATATGGACGGATGGACTATGGATGGTATTACAGAGAAGATGAGAAGCAGCAGAGACATTTCTGTGCCCTTAAATAAGGCAAAGAAATCCTGAGAGAGCTGTCCTCAAGGACCATTAGTGACTGGGGACCAGAGAAGTGAGGACCATTTCAGCAGACACCTGCATGGAAAGATGACTGGAGGCCTCTCAACAGCTTATATGTCCCCCTGAAATCAGCTTGCACCCTAAGGAAATGGAAGAATTCCAAATCTGCCGAGGTCAAATCTCCCCACTCAGATGGAATAGGGGTTTGAAATGAAACTAGATGGATGCAGAAAAAGTAAGTTTTTCTTTGTACATTCAGATTCTTACCTGCTAAACTTACAACTCTTTTTGTAGATAATGTTTTCAAAGTTAGGTAACCTTCTCAAGGCCACACAGCCAGACAACAGTGAAACCTAGATTCAAACTCAGATCTTGCTTGTTCCCAAGCCTTTGACCTGCAGGCCAAAAATGAGATGCGGCTGGGAGGGCTCAAGATGTACTTTTTGGAAGACGTAATAACTGTGTTGCTTCACAAAGATGGGGGCAGGTTGGGACTGACACCACATTGGGGGAGAATGTCCAGTTATGCTGGGTTCTGTGGACACTGGATGAACTCAGCAGCAACTCCCAACGATTTGTGTCATTTGCTGGGAAACACGGTTGTCTTGAAAAATGGTAGTATTTGGCAAACGTGATTTACTGTAGCCTATGTTATTCTGAGCCAGAGTTTGCAGTGAGAATGAACTCCCACTCAGCTTTCTTTCAACTGAAAGGTGGAGCCCACCCTATAAACATAGCTTTTGAATCACTAATGTTCACTTTCCTCTAAGTATGAGTAAAAGATCTGTGTTGTATGAACGTACTAAGTCTCCTCCTTTTGCAAAGTGGGAGTGGGATGCTGTTGGTCTTTTCTTTCCTGCTGTCATTCCCACAGCCATTTAGTCTGAGAAACACATGGAAGGGAGTGGGGGCCAGGTTCCCTCCTGCTTGAGTCAACTGCTGCTCTGTGTATGGCTTGTGGATGGGATGCCCCTCAATGGACACAGTTTCACGGATGGTTGGGTACCAATTTTGAGCAATGCAAATGGTGAAACTCTGAAATCTTGTTTTCTCTCATTTCCTCCTTTCAGTGATGGAGACACCCAGAGAATACAAAGACTAAGTGAAGTGTGTAATAGATCCCCACAAGCTGCAGCTTGAGAACTGTCCACACCACCCCAGGGGCTGCAGCTGTGACTTGTGGAGACAGACGATCTGCCATCATGGCTGGTCATGACGCATTCTCAGCAGGCCTTCTCAACCCTTCAGCTTTTATGTATCCATCTTTCTAGCCTTTCCAGCAAACATTTGTATGGCATGTTCTAAGTGGGCAAAACATACGACTTGTAGACGACTCCAAAAGTCAACTCTCTGGGGCTGAGGATCTAAATCCATGGAGTTGGAAGGGCCCTCAGACATCACCCAATATATCTCCTTCATCTCTAGCTGAAGAACTGAGGAGCATGAAGGCAAGACACTGTTTTCAAAGACCCAGAGCAGATAAGCAGCAGCAGTGAGGGTCTGGAATTCTCCTCTTCTGACTCCAAATTCAGCTTTCCTGTGCTGAACCATGAGACTTGATGGGCCTATAACTATCTTTGGGCCTCCGCTTGACTTTGTCTGATCTGTAGGAAAAATTCCCAGGGAGTTTGGGCAAATATTTTTGACC